GGGGGGGGGGCTGTAATGCTTTACTTTGCTCAGTATAACATTAAAAATGCCTCTCAATTTTCGTAACCCTGTTTCACTTTTTTGTTGGTTTTACTTTTGTTCCGTTTCTAAATTAACTGGGACCCTTAAATAAAAGGAAGTGGCCCAGACTTCTAGGAGCTCCTGTGTGAAGAGGCTGTCTTCCAGCTGAGGCATCTACTCCACTCTGGAGGCACCTGGGAGCTGTAGGAGGCCTTTAAATAGAGATTTGGAGCTCTGACTTCAAGGCTTTAGGGAGAGTGAGAAAGCGCCCAGAGGCTGGGGCACCAGTAAAGGAGCTGTTGCAGTATGAAAAGACCCAGAGTTTAAGTGCTAAATTTTATTTTTTCAACACTATAAAGCACTTACTGCGTGCTAGGCAACTGTTCTTAGTGTTTTGCAAACATTAACTCATTTAATTCTCATAGCAACCCTATGAGGTAGGAACTAGTGTTAACCTCACTTACAGATGGAGAAACTGAGCCACTGAGAGGTTAAGTATTGGGCTGTCGGAAAAGTCATGATGTATTTTTTCTGTTTTTCGTTGCAAAAATGTGTCATGACTTTTCCGACAACCCAATAGTTTGTCACACGGCTAGTAAGTGACAGGGCTGACTGGAACTGGCCTGTGTTCTGAACTCCTAGGCTCTGCTGTGTCCCTTCTGATGACACTAATGTTTGAGCACTTTGCTGGGACTCTACAGACAAGGGAAAGGAAGCAGAGCTTATCCCATGCACTGAGCTACAGTCTGAGTGAGGGTGACACAGAATGGACTGGGAGAAATATGGCTAGATTTCTGGTAGAAAAAGAAATTACTCCATCCAAATCCTTCATTTTATAAAGAAGAAAACTGAGGTTCAGAATGGGGAAGGGACTTCCCAAGTTTGCATGGGGAAGCTCAGGTGACCTGGCTTCCAGTTAAGGTTCCAGGCTGCTGCATGTTGCTCAGGAAGGATGGTCCGTGAAGCTATCCCTCTGTACAGCCAATTTTCTGTTTTAAAAAAACCTTGCCCAGCAACTCAACAGTGTGTAACAAGAGCTATAAAATGATCTGTACTCTTCGATCAAGTAATTTCATTGTTGGGAAAGGTGGGAGACTGTGCAAAGATGTTTATAGCAAATTTAATAGCAAAAACTGGAAACAACTATAAGTCCTGACAATAAGAAAATTGTCAAGCTTCCTGGGCTATATTAGCACAGTAAGGAATTACAGAGTGATTAAAAATGACCAGGATGTGAACTACATTAGTAGGTGGGAAATATTTTGCAGTGAAAAAAAGTAGAACCCAAAGTAGTATGGACTTGGTGATTATAATTATGTAAGATACCCATGGGTATTAAACAACAGAAGAGAGTCTGCTATGATGAGAACATTTCATAGTTTAACATCCTTAAGTTTATTTTTCTGTAAAGTTGCTTAATCTCATTAAAGAAAAAAAAAAGACCTTGCTTAAACCATTATTCCTGTAACGGAGGTGCCGTGGGATAGAAGCTCACTTATACTTCTAATGGGAATGTAAATTGATTCACTTTTCTGGAAAAATAGTTTGGTGACTTTATTTAGAAACTTAAAATGTCCTCGATAATTCCATGTTTAGAGAGATAGTTTAAGGAAATCCTTTTGGAGAAATATTTAGAAACAGAAAATATTCAGTGAAGCAGTATTTATGATAGCACAAAAAAAAAGGGAACAGTCTGCCCATCAATGGAATATTATGCAGACATTAAAAATAATGTGATGAAATTTTATTGGCTGAGGAGATCATCACGCTGTAGAAAAAGACTAGAAGGAAATGACAATAGTGATTATTTCTGGATGAGTGAAACAAGGTAATTTGTACTTTCTTTAATACTTTTTGAATTGTGTATAATGAGCATATATTACTTTTACAACCAGAAAAAAAGTTTATTTTTAAAAAACATGCCACTTGTAGGATGATTCTTTGATTAGCCCCACCTACCTAAACCATTGTTTCATTCAACGTTTGTGGAGTGTCTGCTCTTTGTCAAGTTATTTTGACAAGAGCTACAAATACGAAATCCAATATCATATGGATCATGCTTGGCTTAAGTTCACTAAGGAAGACAGACAGACAAATCACTGATTATAGGTCGTCAGTAGGACAGTGGCAAGTTAGTCCTCTTTCTGATACATGACAGTTAAGCAGTTTGTGTGACATGAGTTTGCATTCATGTTTCTTTGCTTTGAAAGTGTTCTTATGTCAGTGTCATGTGTTTTGATGACCTCCCTAACTTGATTGTAACCTGGGGGAGGGACCATAGATTCTGTTTAGTTCTGTGTGATATATAGTCAGAGTACCCTCGTTTGGGGTTCTGTGTGGAATCAATAAATTTGTTGAACCAACTGATGGTTTCAATCTGAAAAAAATACAGGTTAGCAAGCATATAGGACAGTAGGCAAATGTCCCTATTCTACAGAAATGGTCAAGCAGATTGTAAACAAATCATTTCTGTCCCCGGCGGGGAGGGAGAGGCAACTGGACAAATCCTTTGCCTCATGGGCTCTGTTGACCCTAAGTTAACTTGCCTTATCCAGGAAATGAATCACATGCTTAATTCCAGGTTGAGACTCGTGAATACGCTCAATTGTTGTGGCTAGATTTACTAAGGGGACAGAAATCAGTTTGAGACACTAATGCCAATTGCAATCAGACCATAGTTAAGTAACATAACTGCTAACGACCATTGGAATAACCTGAGATGTGAATTCAGATTTTGATCTACTTTGACAAGGGACATAATAGACAGAGGACTGGATCTTTTAATCGTCAGCAAGTATAGGAGGAAGAATACCGGTTGTGCTCAGCTGCTGTGCAGCCTTTCTTCGGCCATTAAAGATCAAAGCCATGTTTGTATTAACAGTAGCTGGCTTTCTGTGAAGTTCAGTAATTTATGGGGACCAAGTGGACACAATGCTTGTCACACAGCTGACACAAATAGAGTTAACTGAGTCAGTCTTTGTTTTAAGAAAAATCATCTATAACAGCTCTCTAGCTTAATATCAAATAACATAGTATTATTACAAAATAATTTATGACATACAGGGCTTAACCTAGAGAGAAAGGATCCCAACATCACACTTGTATTAGAGGCAAAGGGAGAAATACAAACAGGATTTTTCACTTTACCACATTCTAATAAGATAGGAGGTTGGGGGTGAGGTGCTCATGGGAGATGTACTCGTGAGATTTCCTTAATGCAACCTGGTCGTTGTGTAGACTATCTGACACCTTACACACAGGTATGTTAAACCCACTGTTTTATAGACAAGGTGACTGAGATCTAAAGAGCTGGGGGTCTGGGGCTGGAATTCACCCCAGGACTCACTTATATCTTTTAGTTCCTCTCTGCAGGAGTTCCAAAACACTGGGCTCCATGAATGTGTTTGATATAAGGCCACCCTGGCTCAAAGAAGAGGTGGCAGGGTCAGTTTTCTGTTCTAGCTTTTCTGGGGCACCTTCTTCCACCCAGGCCCTTAGACCTGCCTCTATGACACGGGAGGAAGCAGGCCTGAGCTGATGGGCCCCAGACTTTCAGATTCCTCAGGGATTGGTTTACAGTGCCCCAGGCACCGATGTCAGCTTTTTGCCAGGCTTTTAATGCAACTTTACAGTAGAAGAATCGCTATTTAAATGAAA